TTCGGACGTAGACGCAGACGTAAATACCCGCGTCGATGACACGAACAAGAAACATTACTGCAGACGCCGTACCAGCGTCGATGAAAAGAACATCACTATTATCTGGGGCCTGGGGGTGGGAAGATTGAGTAATTTAATAACAAGAACCAACTGTTTTATGCTATAAATATAAAGTTGAAGGACTATTGCAGAAGTGGTAAAATATATGTATCATTGTGGGAAGAATATCAAAAATAAATCTGAGGTGATTTTGTCTAGCACAAATTTTCAAATAGAAAATTATTCAGCTACTAGGGTCGTGGTTTTAAAGACTCAAATTCCCTATATATTAATTGAGAAACATTTGAAAAGTTATAATCTTAAGTTTGTATTAATTAAAAAATAACCTCATCCTACGTGGCACCTCTCTATATCTTTTATTTCAATTTAGAAGGATTCTAAAGCATGTAACATAATGTATAGTCTAAAAATTATACTCTCTAGCAATATAATATTTCGTACACTATACTTGGTCGCATATAGCAAATATTTATTGTTTCGTAGGCTTTCTTTAAATAAAACCTACGGAATTACCTAATGTGATTAATATATATATATATATGTCAATTAATGATTTTAAACAATAAATATTTGATAACAATCTATATACATTTTATCATTTTGTTTATTTCCTTATTATTAAAATAAATACTCAATTACATTAATCATTAATAAAAATCTAGATTTTTTATGTGTATGTTGTATTTCGAATTTTTCAAAACAAGTATAAATTTCTGAAACTGTTAAAAGTCACACATAAGATTTTATGATCAAGGTTTACATTTTTATATATTAAGATACAATTATTATAAGAGCATATGAAGAAATAATTTTATTTTAATAGGTTTAATGTTAATATATGTATATTTCATATCATTTAAATTAAACTAGACATCATATGAAAATAAATACTAATATTTTAATATTTGCATTGAATATATATTGAGAAGTTAATATTTTGATTTAAAATCTGTAATTTTTTTAAATGATTATAAATTATTGAAACTATTAAACATCTCACATTGAAAAAAATTGTTCGTGTAAAATTTTGTTATACAAATATGCAAATAATCATAAAATCATATGAGTAAAAACCTCATTTAATAAATATACATATTAAAAGTGTGATGTATATCTACGTTAATATCATTTAAATTTAATTATCTTTATATATAAAGAACAGTTTTTTCCCTCCTCCTTATGCCATGTCATCAAATAATGTAAAGAGAAGATGACACATGTCCGTGATTTTCGAAATTCGTTGTTTAATCAATCTGATTCAAATGTTTGGGCCTTTGTATACTATTACGGGCCTTATGTTATGTTAAACTGCTCAGCCCGTATTAACGCACATTAGCTCCTCTCAACCCATCGTTAATCGGGGATTAAGGTTCCTCAACGATCTCTCTCTTAGTCGTCATGATATGCTTTTGGTTAAGACGGCATGACGATTCAGATTGCTGGGGATACAATCGCGTTCTTTCCTTTCCTTTCCATCCAGTCGAAACTTCACCAGTTTTGAATCTGTTGCATTTATCATGTTATTACTCCTTCACCCACGATCCCAAATTCAATGTGTTCTAATCCTTTCGGAGGCGGTGTTCTGCGGGTATAAAAAGGTATGCTCCTATCCCCTGGAAACCATCTTCATAACGTTCTTCGTTATTCTGCAAAGTATATCTTTTTATTCCTCCAAGTATGCATCTTTATGGAGTTTTGTAGCTTCTGATTAAGTGTTTATTGTAACCATTCTTTTAAGCTTCATTCCTGGAGGAGTTTAAGTCTGAACGTTCTATAACATTTGAATAGTTTTCATGTTTGAAGGATTTGGTAAAGATCCTAAATTTGTATATTTTAAACATATGTGGATTCATATATTTATTCTTTGAACTAGATGCCTGAGAGGAAAGATTGTCAGTGCATCTCAACAGATGGGTCTTAGCTTGAAGAGAAAAGTTATGGAAAGGGGAAATACAAAATTAAAGGGCCGAGTGATAAAGTGAAAAAACGCAAGCGTTTAGATCTTGAAAATGGTGGACTTAATACGGTGAGTTCATTTCTGGACCTTTAGTATTCGACGGCTTAACTACTTGAGATGTGTGGAATAAAACACACTGAAATTCTGCTAAACTACTTATGTTATATGAAAGATCCTGCATTTCTGAAAGATGATAAGAGTTTGTTGTATATTGATATTTATACAAACAGTGAATTATTTTTTATATCTAGATGATTATTAGAGAGTTGTTCTTCTTCTGCAGGCTACATACACTGACATCACAAAGAAATTGGTATTAGTAGATAAGTTTAATTAATTAATTTCTTCAGTGATTTCTATTTATATACATATATCAAAACACACGGTTTCGCCAATATTTCAGTGAAGGAGTTCAAAGATGATTTCAGCCTGAAAAAGTCAACTACACAGCTGATTGATCCAAAGTGTGCTCACCAAATTTGCAGAAACGGTAAATGAAGGAGAGAAGAGGAAAAGAGGAGGGAAAAAAAAGAATTTGGTATGAACTTTATTGTTTTGTTTTGAGTCTGAACTGTGCGAAGTAACTTTGTTTTATGTCTATACCATTCAACATTAAAGCCTCCTTAGATTGTCGTTTGATTTGTTAGGCTTTCTTTTATAACATTATCCAGTGGGTATAAATGAACTATATGAATGTCTTAATATAGGTGTGTGACGAGTTACAAAGTTAAATTTCCAACCAGCTAAACCAAGACCAGCAAACACTGACCCTGTGACATCCGCACCTGTGATACTACAAAATTCGTTCCCGTCAAAAACTCTGAAGGATTACACGTAAGGCTCCCAGATTTCCTAGCTGATCTCAGCTTGAAAAAACTATAATTAATATTTTAGGCCACCCATGGTGATAAACCATTCGTTTGTTTGTCACTATAGAGAGGCAATGGTGGCTCTGGAGTTCTCTTCCTACAGTTCTGTCTGTCGATGCTAATACCAATTAGAAGGAGCCGCTAACTGAAATAACGGCAGTTGGTCTGATGTCCACAAGCTCTCTACTCTTGGTCTATCAATTTCTACCAAATCAATTAAAAAGGCACTTATAGCATAAGTTAAAAAGAACATGCTTATTTCCAGAGCAGCATTTAATAGAATAATGCTTAAACATAGTTTTTTTAATTTTCTTCAACTACTTTTTTTTCTAATTTCCGACGACAAGATATTTTACTATGCACAAAAAGTAATTAATCATAATTATAATTATTTCAAAAATAACTTCCCTAAAACCCAACCGCAGAGACCAAACAACAAATAAATAGTCAGGTACCCCTTCCCAATTACCCAATTCACTTAACAAATTTTGAAAGCAACCCCAAAAATCATCCAATCATAACTCCGCAAAACAAACAACCAAAAGCTTACAGAAGATCATTTACTTCAATTAACAAATACAACAATCAAATTAATAATGCAATATCAATTTTCTATTACTGAATTTTACTATATCAAATTAGAATGTGATATTAATACAAAACAGTAAAGTGTTTATACTGAAAATGGAAAATATGAAAATAATGTTTTTAAATCATAATGTCGGACCATAAATATATTATAAATTCCCCAAAATCATTAAACAAATGCATTAATACTAAAAAATAGCAAACAAGAATATAAGAAAACATTAAGTTAGGAATTATATAAATTTTTATTTTTAATGTAATAACCTGATTCATATTTTCAAAAAGATAATAATTATAAGACTAAATAATATTTAATGGTAAAAATTAAATGAGTTGTGAATATCTACTGAAAAAATCCTGATTATTTTTTACACTGAATTTTAATCTAAAATAATATTTTACCTATAGTTAGATTGTAAGATATTATTTTGTTTATAATTAAAAATAATATTTTTCCTAGAAGTTTTACTGTATTTAACTTATACAACATTTTTTACAAAAGCTGTTTCAGCTATTTGTATGAAATTTATCTATTTTTATTTTTACTCATGAAAATAGATTATAAAACATTAAATAGCATATATATAAATAAAAAACTAAATATACAATCCGCGCGTAGCGCGGACCGACCCTAGTATATCATATACGATTGATGAGATTGATTGATATTTTTGATTTATTTATTCTGATTGTGAATAAAAAAGAGTGATCGTTAGATTTATATTCACACGCCAATTTATTACATAATAGTAACTTATTTCTTAGTTATTTAATACTATACTTATTATTTTATTATTTCATAATATGTAGAAAATAAAAAATAAAAAATAAATATAAAATACTTATTTTGCAAAAAGTGCAGATCTTAACCTAAGTATGTAGCTTTTTAATTATTTTAAATCTTAAGCATTATCTAAATCTTAGGCCAAAACAAAGAAACGAAATGAGAATAAACTTCAAAAGCAATATTTATATCGAGCAATAACCAAAATGAAAAAGACAAAAAAAAATATTGATATATATATAGGATTGGCACGTGAACGTAAACTTCTGATAACCATAATTAATTTTTCAATTTATAAATCATGATATAAAACCGAACTGACATAGTTTCATTGTAACCAAATAGACTCAAGATATTTTGACCTAAACGTTAAGTTCTTTGCGGTAATTGATATTTTGACATAAGACATTTTCAAAAATGAAATCAGCTTATCACTAAACAAATTATGTGATTTACAAAAAAATTAAAAAAAAAAACCTAAATATTAATTCAATCGAGAATATAGATATACTTTTCTATATAATATTTTTAAATAAATTTTATATAAATTTATACTGGCAAGATAACATTGTAAAACGAGTGCATAACTCTACGACAACGAGATTGCTTCGAATTTCTTGTCGCGCTTTCGATTCTCAGCAGCCGCGAAAAATAATAGAGAGCCAATAAAAGTGTAAGACATATGCAAATCTGAATCGTATCTCCGAGTCCCCTCAAATCTGATCCTCCGCCGGATTCCGATATGCCGCCTTTCTCCGCCGTAAAATCTTTCTTGTCCGTTTACTCAGCCGTAGGATGTATCTTCCTTCTTCTCTCTCCGGCTTTAGCCTCCGAGTCAGATCACAAGGTTAGATTTGAATCTCTTTCATTAGCTGTAGCTTATTTGCTTGTAGATCTCACTGTTGCTTGTGGCCTCTGTTTATTTTCTTTTGCCTCAATTGAGTCGCCAAACTACAAAAACGCCTTCATCGTTACTCTTAACTTATGTCCTAAGTTTTTTTTGTTTGGTGTGGTTATTTGTTCAATTTAGCAGATAGGAGTGGGGGTGGAATATGCTACTTCAGTTAGTTGTTAGCTCCTTATCATCATGTATCTGATAGATTATGGAGCTGGGAGAAATATGTTTCTAAGTTTATTCAAATTGTGATTTCCTGATTATGGCCAGTTTCTGGTTTCTTGTTGTAGTTGAGGTTTAGAGATGTGGATAGGCATGGCATCCCTTTGAGATTTTCGCTTTTTAAATATGTAATTAGTTTAAGCCTAACTGCATTTTCCACTTGCTTTTGTTTGATGTTAACGCATATCGGTAGCAATCTTGTAGTCTAGCAAGCGAAAAATAGTCTTTGCTAAATAATAACAGCCCTGTATATATTTGGAGCAAGTAATGTTGCAGTGTCAAGATTTGTAATTGTTTCCCGTTTTCTTCCATAGGTTCATGTCTTCTTTGTTTTCGTATTTTGTCTCTGTTATCCTTTCTGGGTTTGGTTTATTCCTGTCGGTTTTTCGATCCTTCACATATATACTAAGTCATGGCATTTGATGTTCTGCATTTTTCCAGTATCAAGCTGATGAGAAGGTCACTCTTTGGGTGAACAAAGTTGGCCCATATAATAATCCACAAGAAACATATAACTATTATAGCCTCCCCTTTTGCCGCAAAACTAATAACAGCATTCACAAATGGGGTGGTCTTGGCGAGGTCCTTGGTGGAAATGAGCTCATCGACAGCCAGTTAGACATCAAGTTCTTAAGTATGCTACTTTTTTTATCTTTTTTTTTTTTATCTTGATTGCATAACAGTTATATTGCCTTCTTCTGTTTTACTCCCAGAAAATGTTGACAGAAGCGTCATTTGTCAGTTGGAACTTGATGAAGCTAAGGTCAAGCATTTCAAAGATGCCATCGAAAACAGTTACTGGTTTGAATTATTTATGGGTACGTGTCATATTTACTTGTACAGATTTCTGATGAAGAAGAATCATAGAAAAAAAGTTAATTCTCTCGTTTGTTATATTTATAATTCAAAGTTTATTGACTCAACGAGAGAATTCAATTTTCTGCGCAATGAATATTTGTTTAAATGAGCAAATAATACAATATCTCCATTCATCCTCGGTTCTTACATCATTGTAACTAAAATTTTAAGATCCTTCGTTTGCTAATCTTTTGTGTTGCTTCTTTTCGGCGAATGCTGTTTATGACGCACTTGGATGCAAGTTCAGATGATCTGCCTATGTGGGGTATGTTATTTACCATACTCACTTTGGGCAACCAAATTTTGAGTTCCAGTTCCTAAAATAAAACTTTTGACTTTGTCGTTGTTGTTGTTATAGGCTTTGTGGGCGAGCTGCCTCCTGGAAGAAATAGTGAAAACGGCTAGCATGCTCTTTACACTCATAAGATTATCAATGTCAAATACAACAAAGACCAGGTCTGTTGTTTCTCTGCCAATAAGCAGTATTAGAGATCTCATATTTAGTTTTCTGTGATCTGATTTTTTCTTCTTTGCGTAGATTATTCATGTGAATCTCACACAAGATAATCTAAGACCGTTAGAAGCAGGGAGGACGGTGGACTTGACATATTCTGTGAACTGGATCCCAACAGAGGTCACATTTGCTCGTCGTTTTGATGTTTATCTAGACTATCCGTTCTTCGAACACCAGGTTAATCATATTTTGTTATGTCTTACCGTTTTTATCCTTCTGCTAGTGTAACTACAGGGAATGCCCTTTTTCTTGCTTGTTGATGGAACTGCTAAAACCTTGACTTTTTATTGGAAGCTTTTTGTAAGGGTTTTAATGGATTCGTTTATCATGTAGATCCATTGGTTCTCCATCTTTAACTCGTTCATGATGGTTATCTTCCTCACTGGTTTGGTCTCAATGATATTAATGAGGACTCTCAGAAATGATTATGCTAAGTATGCTCGAGAAGACGATGACCTGGAGAGCTTGGTGATGTCTCACAAACCCCTTATCTAGAATAGCTTGGTGTGGAGCAACTTCTGACGGTTTGCATTTTTGAGCACAGGAACGGGATGTAAATGAAGAATCTGGATGGAAACTCGTGCATGGAGATGTGTTCCGACCACCAAGTAGTCTAGTTCTTCTCTCGGCTGTTGTTGGTACAGGTGCACAGTTGGCTTTGCTTGTTCTTCTTGTCATATTAATGGCAATCATTGGGACACTTTATATTGGGTATGTATTACACTCTTTACTTTCAATCAACTTCTCATGTTTTTCTTCTCATGGAATATGAGTTCGGCTTTTGTCTGAATGTCATTCTTACAATGAAAACTTCTTATTCTGGTTTACACTCATTCAGGAGAGGAGCGATCGTCACAACTTTTATAGTTTGTTACGCTCTAACTTCATTCATCTCCGGTTATGTGAGCGGTGGAATGTACTCAAGAAGTGGGGGTATGTTGTATCCTTCTTTGTTGAAAGCAAGCAAGCTCTCCAATAGTATACCTTCCTTCAACTCATTTCTTCAAATTTCTCTTATGCTTGTTTGTTTAGGTAAACATTGGATCAAGTGCATGATCCTCACAGCTTCTCTCTTCCCATTCTTGTGCTTCGGGATTGGATTCCTCCTGAACACAGTCGCCATATTCTACGGATCTCTTGCGGCTATTCCCTTCGGAACAATGGTGGTTGTTTTCGTCATTTGGGGCTTCATTTCGTTCCCTCTCGCCCTCCTCGGGACAGTCGTCGGTAGAAACTGGAGTGGTGCCCCAAACAATCCATGCCGAGTGAAGACAATCCCACGTCCAATCCCTGAGAAAAAATGGTACTTGACTCCATCAGTAGTCTCTCTTATGGGAGGTCTATTACCTTTTGGCAGCATCTTCATTGAAATGTACTTCGTCTTCACATCCTTCTGGAATTACAAGGTAAAAAGATCTCTTACAATGTAGAAAGGTCAAAACATATTGTTCCTTTCTTGATGGCTTTTTGTGTATCATGACAGGTATACTATGTGTACGGGTTCATGCTACTTGTCTTTTTGATTCTCGTTGTGGTTACCGTGTGTGTGACGATCGTGGGAACATACTTCTTGCTGAATGCTGAAAACTATCACTGGCAATGGACATCGTTCTTCTCAGCTGCTTCTACCGCGGTTTACGTCTACTTGTACTCAATCTATTACTACTACGTAAAGACAAAGATGTTTGGATTTTTCCAGACCAGCTTCTACTTCGGATACACCTTGATGTTCTGTCTCGGCCTCGGAATCCTTTGCGGTTAGTTTTTTACTCATTCTATCGTCTCATTTTTCAAATTGGGGTTTTGGTTTGGTTTGGTCTGAAGATTGTATGGTAACTGGGAAAAAATGCTGCAGGAGCTGTTGGGTTCTTAGGATCGAATCTGTTTGTTAGAAGGATCTATAGAAACATCAAGTGCGACTAGAGACATAAAAACCAAGAAAGAGAAAAAAAGGGAGTAAAGATGGATCGTGGAATGTTGTTGGTGGCAGTTAAGTCTGTTAGAAAGCAGCTTTTTTACAGGTTTAGATTATTATACACAAGGGAACGTGGGAATCGAAGGAGGAAGAGAGGTTGTATGGTAATTGAAAATATTATATTTTTATTTGGCTTCTTTTTTCTTTTCTTTTTGCTTATGTCCCCTTTTTGGTAAAGTTGAATCTACTCTATATATTCTGTTTAGGATTCAGAGATACGTTTTGGTTATATAGTCTCATCTGGCTTAAATGACACCAATATATGTCTAATCCCAAAAGTGGAGAAGCCAAATCAGATGAGTCAGCTACGCCCTATTAGTTTATGTAATGTAAGCTACAAGATTATCTCTAAGGTCTTATGTCAGAGGTTAAAGAAGTTCCTTCCAGATAGGATCTCAGAGACCCAGTCAGCTTTTGTTGCTGGGAGACAATATCTGATAATATTATGATAGCTCAGGAGTTGTTTCATGCTCTAAGAACAAAACCGAGTGGCCGCAACAAGAGGATAGCTATTAAAACAGATATGAGCAAGGCTTATGATAGAATGGAATGGTCTTTCATTGAGGCAACCATAAGAAAGATGGGCTTTTCTGAAATTTGGATAACTATGATAATGAGATGTGTAACTTCAGTAAAATATAAGGTCCTTATGAATGGGAAACCAAGAGGGAATATTGTCCCGGAGAGAGGGCTACGACAAGGAGATCCTCTGTCCCCTTTCATTTTTATTCTGTGCACGGAAGCGCTTGTTAACTTTCTTAATCACGCAGAGAACCAAGGGAAGATAACGGGGATGCGCATCACGCGTGCGTGTCCCTATGTGTCTCACCTTCTCTTTGCTGATGTTAGTCTGTTTTTCTGGAAGGCGGTGCCCCGTGAATGTGAAAAAGTAATGAAAGTGGTCACGATATATGGAAAAGCTTAAGGACAATGCATCAATTTTGATAAGTCTTCTTTACTCTTTGGTAAAATGATAGGCCAGGATGTGCGACAAGAGATTAAAGACACGCTCGGGATTCAGAATGAAGGTGGTATGGAGTCATACCTGGGTATACCAGAGGATATCAGTGGATCAAAATGCAAGCTTTTTGCCTTCCTCAAGGACAAGCTGAGGAATAGAGTGAATGGATGGACTGGTAGATGGCTTTCTAAAGGCGGAAAAGAAGTTATGATAAAATCAATCTTACTAGCTCTTCCGACGTATGTAATGTCTTGTTTCTTTCTCCCATTGGAGATTTGTGAGAATTTAGCTAGTGTCATTGCACAGTTTTGGTGGAGTTCTAACCCGCCAAAAAGGGGTATTCATTGGTCGACATGGGACAAAATGTGCCTCCCCAAAGAAGAAGGTGGAATTGGGTTTAGGTTGATTCATGAGTTTAACCTGGCGCTTCTTGCGAAGCAGATGTGGAGATTGGTGCAGAACCCGGATTCTTTGGGAGCTCGTGTTTTGCGAGGTCGGTATTATAGATTGAGTACGCTGTTGCGTCAAAGTAATGCGAACAGTCCATCATATGTGTGGACAAGCATTACAGCCAGAAGAGAGTTACTACTACTAGGAATCAGACAAAAAGTACACTCAGGCTACGAAATAAGAGTTTGGGATGACCCTTGGATTCCCACTATACCTGCTAGACCAGCAACTCCTATGACACCGGTCATGCATCCAAATATGCGTGTGAGTGATTTGATTGATCAAACGACAAAGAGTTGGGATGATAGACGATTACACGATTATGTGGCTCCAGATGACATACCATTTATCAAGAGTATGGCCATAAGTTTCACGCATCGACGGGATACGTATTGCTGGAGCTACACAAGGAATGGACAGTATACAGTAAAATCTGGTTACTGGGTAGCACGGAATATCTTGAGGAGGGAAGTGGAAACGGAAGTATGTGAGCCTAGTATCACTAAACTCCAAGCACATGCTTGGAAGGTCAGAGCCCCTCAAAAGATTTGTCATCTTATGTGGCAGTTGATAACATGGCATGTTGCTGTTACGAGCATCTTGAACTACAGACATATGAGATGTGACAATCATTGTCCTCGTTGTGGGGAACCTGAGGAGACGATCAATCATGCAATATTTGAATGCCCACCTGCTTTACAAGTCTGGGCCCTCTCATCCACGCCTACCAATCCCGCTTTGTTCCCGATACAAAGCACGTACGCAAATATGGATTATTTATTCTGGAGGAAGAATGCGATAATGGAGCCGGAATTGGATAGGGATCCTTATCCTTGGCTAATCTGGTACATATGGAAGGCTAGGAATGACAAGCTGTTCAGAGGTATTGATAGGGACCCATTGGAGGTTGCACGTTATGCAGAAAGCGAATGTCAAGCATGGTTCAAAGCAAATGAGCAGGAAAATCTGGTGCCCACTGGGAACGAAACAGAGGAAAATCAGATCTTAAGTCTGGTTAATATATGCATGGTGGATGGTTCTTGGACCTCATCAAATACTTTCAGTGGATGTGGATGGGTGTTGAATGACAATTCTGGAAATAGTGAGTTAATGGGGCTGCGTAATTTTGATCGAGAGGAGTCGGCGTTGCATTCAGAGTTGGAAGCACTGCGGTGAGCAATGGAGAATATGCTTCAACATTCGCCATGTCAGAGCTTTGGAACTAATTGCAAGGAGATGATTGAGATGCTCAAGAATCCCCAGGCATGGCCCAAATTCTCAACAGAGCTGGAAAGAGTGGAGACGTTGAGGATATGCTTCCCTGACTTCAGGATTATTTATGTTCCTAGATTACTAAATGGTGTATCTGATTCTCTCGCTAAGACAGCTAGGTCTTTCTATCGTAGGCTTGTGTACGTTGATTGTTCTATTCCGGTCTAGATTCCCAGACCACCTCAATCAAGTTCCTTGAGTAATAGATCAGTCGTTTGATGTCAAAAAAAAAAAAAAGAGGTATCCAAAAAACTAAATTTCTAAATTGGTTTAACAATTAAAACCCCAACAATTAACACACCGTAATTTTTTTTTTCATAGAACACAACGTAGTTTTTCTGCTGGGTTGTCAATGGGGGGACATCTTCTTTTTCTTGGTCTTTATTCTCTTTTAAATTTATGTAAAATTAACCATTTCTTTTTTAATAAATATAGATGATATAAAAACTCAAAACCATTGATTCCAAAAATTTCTCAAATCCAGAATAAAATATCAGTCATACAATAAATAATTAATAAAACATATGAAGAGTTATTCGTTTCAGACACAAACAAGTCGGACATAATAGTTTGTGAGTTTGTCCCAAAGTGAGAACCACGTATAACTCACCTCAACAAGATAGATGATATAGCAAAGTGTGTCAAACACAATCCACTCACACAAAAAGGAAACAAATCACTATTGTTCAAATAAAAGACGATAATCCAACAATCCACACAATAAACGCCACGTGGAAGATAGAATTCCACAGCAATCCTACCTTTTAATCTTCTCGTCTCTCCTTCACTCTCCACACCATTTCCACAAGCCACAGCACACAAAGAAACCAACCAAATCTTCTCAAAGCATAAAAATGGCATCAACAGCCCTCTCAAGCGCCATCGTCGGAACTTCCTTCCTCCGCCGTCAAGTAGCTCCCATCAGCCGCCGTTCCCTCCCCTTAGCCAACACTCAATCCCTCTTCGGTCTCAAATCAGGCACCGCACGTGGTGGACGCGTCACAGCCATGGCTACTTACAAGGTCAAGTTCATCACTCCTGAAGGAGAGCAAGAGATTGAGTGCGACGACGATGTCTACGTCCTTGACGCTGCTGAGGAAGCTGGAATCGACTTGCCTTACTCTTGCCGTGCTGGTTCTTGCTCGAGCTGTGCAGGTAAAGTTGTGTCTGGATCTGTTGACCAGTCTGACCAGAGTTTCCTAGATGATGACCAGATTGCTGAAGGTTTTGTTCTCACTTGTGCGGCTTATCCTACTTCTGATGTTACCATTGAGACCCACAGGGAAGAAGACATTGTTTAAGACCAAAGCTCCATTAACATGCTGTTTTTGATGGTTTCATAAGCATTGTCTTTACATCTTGGGTTGAGTTTACTTAAAAGTTTATTGTTGTCTGTTGTAATTGTTCTTGGTTTGGCCCACCTTTTGGTAATATCAATGGATAACAGTTCAAAACTTATTTATGATCATGCAAATTCTGGAAAACTTTGATGAGAATCCAAACATTATCTTTAAACATTTGGAAATACAGTTTCGTTGAAGATTGTTTTTCTGTGGTGCACTTTTAATGAAATTCAAACATTTTTTTCTTTTACTTATTTAGTGGTTGAAAGAAAAATATATTAATTTTAACACTGGAAAGAGCTATTTGTACATTCTTATGAGACAATTAATCCTAGAGTTTCAGCCGGACTCATGTCCGGTTTTGTGGCTGAGGATCTAGAAGATGCAAGCTAGTGGTCTCGGGTTTATTCCGGAAACGCACCTTGGGTGTGTATACTGTTAGTACAAGTCCTGCAAGCCTATCTTACTGTTACTAACAGTTAGAGCTTGAAATGTATCTCTGGAATAGTCCTAGGGTCAGTATGTCTTGAGTCATCTTGTACCATGAGGTCGAATTTAGATGGTTGAAGGGGTGGATTGCTTCGGGCCGTGGAGTGATTTCATCTCACCATGGTTGAAAATTACAATGTAGTTAGTTAGGTTGCGTTGATTCCAATTAGTGAATCAGGGTGTAACTAAGCTTTGTACCAACAATTGGTGAAATGAATATGTTGTCTTTGAGCAAAAAATAAAAATAAAACTTCTAGAGCTATTTGTACATTTTTTTAACAAAAAAAAATCAGTTTTGTCTATTATTTTAAATAGAACTCATTTTTGTTATTAATTTAATTATTGGTGTAATGACTAATATATTTCAACTAAATTCAGTCTCCACCCATCTTTCTATTGTCTTTAATTACACACGTTTTGAGGTTTAATGATTCTCAAATTTAAATTTTAGAATTTGTATTTCATTAGTTTTAGTCCTAGCCACAAAAACTAAAAATCACTTTACATTGGAACAAGATGCTGCGGTGGAGCAAATAAATGTTGGATTGGTGATGGTGAGTATGCGGTTGATATCTTCAGCCACTCATGCAGTCAAATAAAGAGATGGCTGAGACTATTGGTAAAACTATGGTGTATTATTTATCCCATAACAGTGGATGCACATGGGAGATCTCTTTATCGATAGCTCATTACAATGTGCTCTTCATAACTCGCTAATTATATGCAACTGTTGCGGTAGTTAAATTGTACAATATCAATGACATGAGAGCATCTTCAACTTCAACAGTCATATATTCTTTCATCTTTTTAAAAAAAAATTAGATGATTGGTCCGCACTCGGGCATGAAAATATACTGTGATTTTGATTGAGTTGGATTTTGATGGAAACAGACTTTCAATAGTGAACTCATTGATTTCTATATATTGCAAGTGCAAAGAAATTGATATTGACATATACCATGCATCTTCAATGTGAGAGAAAATGGGACGAGTGGCTGTTTTAATGCTGAGATATGATCTGCTCAATTTGCAATATGGTAGAGATAAAGAACGAGTCGCATAATTTTTTTTTCCAAAAGCACCCTGTTTAATTTGTTAAACTATTCAAAAAATGAAAAATTAATAGTGTTCAGTTTTTGAAGGAAAAAAATTATATTATCACTAAGTGAAATTGTATTGTATAAATTCTGTAATTATATATTTTAGGTGAAATATGAAATTTATGTTTTTATATATTTTTAAAACAGTGGCATATTAAAAGAAAATATGATAAAAATCAAAATACAATCCATAAGTAATATAAAAGAAGAAGTACAATTCTCGATAAAAAAAAGTTCCCATCGAAACCTGAAAAAAATATTTAATTTTGTTAGCAATCGTACGATATCAAATATCCTAATATATTTCTAAATTTTATTGAGACGAAAACTATATTAAATTAACATATTGTTATGGAAATAGTCTTAAAAATGGTTTGTAGTCAACTACAACTCATATTTCGTAAGAGATTATTCTACCTGTTAATAGATGAAAAAAACAAATGTAGTCAATTACAGCCCAAATAGTCAACTACAGAGTACACATCATCTTCACGTTACTGTAAAATATAAACTGAGTTGATAAATCTAATATACATATTTAGGTAGCAAATAAGAAAAAGTAAAGCAATTAAGCTTACTTTTGGTCACATAACTCAATCAAGAGCTTCATGTTATCTTCTCCTTTTATTATTTTGTTTTCAAGAGAACCGAAGTTAACTATTTGACCAATAACATCTACATTCCATAAAAAACAATCAAAATGACCGAAGTTAACTATTTAACTAACAGATTAATAGCCTTAAAATCTTATATAAATTATTAGTGAATGAACAATTCCCAGTTGAAAATTACTTACCAACCAAACGGGTGTTATCAGCCTTTCCAACAAGAATTTCAGTGTAATTAGCCAAATACTTCTCCCGGACTTCACTTGGAAAATCATCAGCTTTTGCAACAAAAGTCATGCAGAAGAACTCAATTTCGCACGGATGTGAGCTTGTCCGATAATCACCAATAACATCGTGCACTTTGAATAATTGGACCACCATCGCATTGCCCTCGATTAGATCGGCTTCAATTTTTTTGATGAGTTGTTCACCAACTGAAGCATGAATTCTTGTCCACTGATCGAATATACGAAAGTTATGAGTTAGGAAAATATCATGTAAGGGTTGAGTGAAAGCAGAATAAGTAGTTATAAACATTAAGTAGATTTTTTTTGTTCATTGTAAATAAATATAATATATGACGAATCTGAGTTTTGAAATTTTTTGTAATATAATTGTTGCTGGATCCTTTGTTGTAATTTCTCCACAATCGAAGAATCCGTACTTTAATACGCCGTGTATCTTTAAACGGTTTCAACTCTCTGACATAAGAAACTCTGTTTTCGGTGAGCTGAACTAAAGCCATCGTCTTAAAAATATGTTAGGAAAAGAGAATAAGGTTTGTATTGTAGGTGTTTTGGGTCTCAGTTATATATAGTCTACCTTCCACGTTAGACATTTATTAGGTGATATTATACATAATAAATGATGTTGGGATCAAAATCGGTACGACGGAATCAATAGCCAAAATTCCCCGCAAGAATACGAAAGGAACCGTTTTATAAACCTTAAGGAGTCGTTTTATAAAACTCGAGATCGTTTTATAAAACTCGAAGATCGTTTTATAAAACTCGAAGATCATTTTATAAAACTCGAAGATCTTTTTATAAAACTCGAAGATCGTTTTATAAAACTCGAAGATCGTTTTATAAAACTCGAGAAGCCGTTTTATAAAACTCGAAGATCGTTTTATAAAACTCAAAGATCATTATATAAAACTCGAGAAGCCATTTTATAAAACTTGAAGATCGTTTTATAAAAATGGCTTACTCTAGAAGCTTCCAATTAGTTCGCCTGCTGGCGAACTAAGCCAAGCTGGCTTAGTTCGCCAGCAGGCGAACTAGGAACTCCCCGGCTAGTTCGCCTGCTGGCGAACTAAGCCAGCTCGGCTTAGTTCGCCAGCAGGTGAACTAGAGATCTCCCGGATCTCCCGCAGCCCCGATTCGAACCTTACGTCCTTCGAAACGGTCATATTCTGAACCACGGCCGAAATGTCTCTCGTTTCGTCTCGATCCGACTTACCGTTCGAATTCTACGATAAAAACCGTAAAACTCCGCTTTCTCGAAAAGAACTCGAAGAAATCGTATAAAACGGTAACGGTCAAGCAAGACACCGAACATCGCCTAAACTATACGATTTATCCGAGATTTTTCGTTAAGATTATAAAAACCCCGTTTTTAATAAAAAACGTCGAGAAGGTCGTAAAAAACGGCATCGGATCAGGAAACGGTCTCGTATAAAGTCGTAAAATGGTTTTTATCGTAAAACGGCCCGAAAGATCCTAAAACACGATAAAAACCCATCTCGCGATATTTACGAAATCTAACCCGAAGATACGATAACGTTTTGGTGGTTTACTCGCGGACAGAAGATAAAAGGCAAGTTTGAAGATAAATAGAAGATTTCCGCGGAAGAAAAGGAAGGATCGACAGAAATGGAAAATTCCCGATATATTCGGTTTCGGGCGAAATGGAAAGACTAAAACCGCCTAAGAAGGAGTATATAAGGGGGAGGCATAGGGCAGAAGCTGGGACACGATTTTCAGAGCTCTCACCACCAAAATTAGCATTTAGGAATATTTTCGTTTTCTGTTAGCGAGCTGCGTCTCAATTAGGGTTTTTTCGTTCTTAGGCTTTCGGCTACTCTTTTTGTACCAGTTCTTACGCAGATTCAGAATAAGAACCTCTTTGCTCTCAACTTCGTTTATTCGCTTTTATATTCTAAGTTTATCGTTTTCTTAATCTTCATTGTGCGGTTCTGCAGATAGCCAGTTCCTCTGAAAACTTAGGGTTTTCCCGAAGTTTCTTTTTTTACGATTTATTGACAGTAGGTGGATTTCGGTTCTCACAAATGACGTTTTCACCAAGAAAGAAATTAAAATTATATCGACATAAGGTGAAATGAAATAAACATAATACCAACTTGTGCAAGTAATCCATATTCAAAAAAGGTAAATTATTAAAAGTGTTCGGTACAAATTAGAATGCATTAACTATTATCAACTTGTGTAAGTAATAGGGGAAATCTAGAAGCAGTAAGTTATAAATAAACGAGCAAAAAATTAGAAACGTTAAGGTTAATTAGGTAAGTTATTAAAAACGATAAGGTAAATTATATTAAAACAATGCAATACATATTAGAAAATTGGTAGAGTAATAGAAAATTAAGGTAAGTTATTAGAGACGTTCTTAGCTCTCTATAAATTTAATCCCTTTTATTTGGCGTTAATTGGCATTATGTAAATCAAAGCCCAATTGGTATATTGAACCGACCATGAGCTCATGCCTAAATATAAAAGCCCAATTGAAAATCTACAACACTATTACTTGCGCTTTTTTAAACTGAAAATTAGTATGAGGTTAAAGCTTGGGAGGATCCTTGGATTCCTACTATACCTGCGAGACCGGCTATCCCTTTGGTACCGGTTATGCACCCGAATATGCGTGTGAGCGATTTGATTAACCAAACAACGAAGGCTTGGGATGAAAGACGACTTCAGGAGTACATAGCTGCGGATGACATTCCACTCATTAAGAGCATGGCTATTAGTTCCACACATCGACGGGACACGTTCTGCTGGAGCTATACAAGGACTGGACAGTATACAGTTAAATCTGGTTACTGGGTAGCACGAAACATCTTGAAGAAGGACGATGAAACTGAAGTATGTCAGCCCAGTATCACAAAGCTTCAAGCACATGCGTGGANGACGGGACACGTTCTGCTGGAGCTATACAAGGACTGGACAGTATACAGTTAAATCTGGTTACTGGGTAGCACGAAACATCTTGAAGAAGGACGATGAAACTGAAGTATGTCAGCCCAGTATCACAAAGCTTCAAGCACATGCGTGGAAGGTCAGGGCTCCCCAGAAGATGTGCCATCTTATGTGGCAGGTGATTACAGGTCATGTAGCTGTCATAAGCATTTTAAACTACCGGCATATGAGATGTGACAACCACTGCCCTCGATGTGGGGAGCCAGAGGAGACGATTACGCATGCAATTTTTGAATGCCCACCTGCTTTACAGGTTTGGGCGCTATCATCTACGCCTACCAATCCTGCTATGTTTCCAGGACAAAGCACGTACGCGAATATGGATTACCTGTTATGGAGGAAGAATGCAATAATGGAACCGGATTTAGATAGGGATCCTTATCCTTGGCTAATCTGGTACATTTGGAAGGCTAGGAATGATAAGTTATTCCGAGGCATTGATAGAGACCCATTGGAAGTGGCGCGATATGCAGAGAGCGAATGCCAAGCCTGGTTTCAAGCAAATGAGCAGGAAGTAACGTCTCCTCTTGGGGATGGATTAGGTGAAGACCAGGCCTTAAGCTTGGGAGATATCTGCATGGTGGATGGATCTTGGACCTCAACGGATAACTTTAGTGGATGTGGGTGGGTCTTGACTGATACTTCTGGAGTTAACCAGTTATTGGGGGTGCGTAATTTTGATCGAGTGGAGTCGGCATTGCATTCAGAATTGGAAGCACTGCGGTGGGCAATGGAGAATATGCTTCAACATTCGCCATGTCAGAGCTTTGGGACTGATTGTAAGGAGATGATTGAAATGCTCAGGANATCGAGTGGAGTCGGCATTGCATTCAGAATTGGAAGCACTGCGGTGGGCAATGGAGAATATGCTTCAACATTCGCCATGTCAGAGCTTTGGGACTGATTGTAAGGAGATGATTGAAATGCTCAGGAATCCTCAGGCCTGGCCTAGCTTCTCAACAGAGTTGGAAAAATTGATGACCCTGAAGATCTGCTTCCCAGATTTTAAGATTTGTTATGTTCCCAGACTTCAGAATGGCGCTTCTGATTCTTTAGCTAAATTAGCTAGATCGTTTTACCGTAAGCTTGTGTACGTTGGTTGTTCTGTTCCGGTCTGGTTACCCAGACCACCTCATGTTGCTTGAGTAATAGAATGGCCGTTTGATGTCAAAAAAAAAAAAAAAAAAAAAAAACTGAAAATTAGTATATTGCATTATATGTGGGTTTATCTAACTTGATATTAGTATTGGGCTTATTTAAATAGACTATAGACATATTTTATCATCTAAGGACATGATTATCCAGAGAAAAGGGGGGGGGGGTGCTTAGGATGGTGTTACCGTTGGGATGGTTACAATGACAAACTCAGTAGTGTCCACATCACGGAAAACATTTCAAACTTTCTCCATTCTCTCTTTCAGTTGGCCGACCTCGTTGGACTGTTTACAAAATTGAATCGTTAGAATTCGAGAAAGGTGAACAGGAGCTGGTATTGATTCAAGTAAATAACCTATATATTTACAGGTCCTTGTTCTTGTATCTCCTTTTTGTTATATGAAGACAGACGTAAAGGCTGAAGCTGGTGCATTGATCTTCTTTTTAAACTTCGTATGATAAAAAAACTTCCAACCTGTAACAAATTCTAAAACAGATTTGAAACACTAAATTATATCAAAGATTATGTCCTCAAGTCTCTAGAAACAAGTAAAATCAGTGACACATGAGACCTATCTAAAATCAAATGACACCTAAAGGACAAAAAACATTTTTTTTTGAAATGTATAAGAAGTTATACAGACAAAACAATTACAAACTAAGTGTTCCAAATTGCAAAGCTTCCTTACCATGGTGAGAACACACGACTTTCTCGAAAAATATCAAAATAAAATTGAATAATGAAGCAGAGATTTTGACATAATGGAATAGCTTGAACACCTTTAACTCGTGACCTGATCATGGCTCACGGATAGCAAGTGATATCAGTCACAGTAGCAAAATGACAAGACGACTCGTGTATTCTCCCCAAATCCAATTAAATCCAAAAATCCTAATCCCCAAATCCAATTAAACGATCTCAAGTCAAAACCGTGCAACCTCAGAAACATCCAAAAACCATAATCCCCAAATCCAATTAAACGATCTCAAGTCAAAACCGAGCGATCTTAGAAACATACCCCTATAAAACGATCATGGTTCGACTTCCACACGGATAACACGAACTGCAGCGACTTTTGTCTACCTCCACATTGTCATCGCAAATCAAAACAGCGCGAGTGTCTACAGAAGGGCAAGGGAAGGACCTGGCGTTGAGGCTGCTCAATGATTAATAAATCAGAGATATCGAAGCTGTATCAAGCCAGTTTGATCTTGCAAATCTCCGTAGACTTTAGGTATCTTAGAAAAAAGAGATCGAAGAATGAGTGTCAAGGAAAGAACGAAACAATACATATAATGTTCGGTGATTTAAAAAAATAAATAAAAAATAATCGACCAATGAGACTATAAGAATTTTCTTGAGAATGTCTGT